GTAACTTGTAACCACATTCTAAATTAGTTTTAGTATTATGAACTTTTTACAAAAAACAACATGTGCTTGTAGCCACATTTTAAATTAGTTTTAGTAAAGTTCATAATCATATGTTGTTTTTTGTAACTTGTAACCACATTTTAAATTAGTTTTAGTAAAGTTCATAATCAAATGTTTTTTGTAACTTGTAACCACATTCTAAATTAGTTTTAGTAAAATGATCTTGCGATATATTGTTGATATATTACTACTCTTCACATTAAGTGCAGTTTAGGAAATCCAAAAACGAATTTAAGAAGTTTGATTTTTTTCATGTAAATTTCGCTGTGTAAGTCACTTATCAAATTATGCTTTCTTAATGAGATTAGTAGTAAATGATATATTATGTGCAGCATTCCTTACAACTGATTTAAGTAGATGACGAATCTCTTAACAGTAAATCTTTGATGTTATAGTCGTATTAAGATCCATAGTTTAAATCTGGAAAATGTGAAAGTACCTCATGATTATATAGACCTTCGTGTAGTGATATAAGATGAGCAAGGAATTACAGTAAATCTTTGATGTTATAGTCGTATTAAGATCCATAGTTTAAATCTGGAAAATGTGAAAGTACCTCATGATTATATAGACCTTCGTGTAGTGATATAAGATGAGCAAGGAATTACAGCGTGGATTGTGAAGTGATCTCTTGATTTAGTTAGTTGGAAACAAACAAAACTTTCAGTAATCCAAAATATGAAAGTAGAATAAACAGTCACACATTTAGATGTATTTAAACAGTTTTTTAAGTGGCTTAAATCACTCTGTTTATATAAAAGAATTAATAGTAACTATAGTTCACTTACCTCACTAAGTAACTGGAATGCTTTCATATAATCTCGTTCGTGAGCAAAAGTTTTGATACATGTAAAGATAACTCAGGTTGAATATGTGTATGTTATCAAAGCTTAATTAGTTGAGCTTCAGTAGTGGTGTGCTCAGTATATTTTATTTGCCAACTGTCTTATGTACTGATGTTTTACAAATGCTTTGTTTTATTCATTTGGCTATAAATTTAATGTATGAATATTACCTTCAGTATTAAAAGAACTAACTTGCTTTATCTAAAGGTCATTGACCTCGAGACTTATGACCTGTAGTATTATAAAAATAAAAGATGGCATATTGCCTTTATCATTACAGTTGGTCTAGATCATGCTGTGTTTCTCAGAAATGTTAATTCACATCTCAATTAATATTCAAATCTTAGTATTTGAACAGTTTTACCATAGTAAAAAAACAAAAAGGCTAATTCTCATAGTTTCTGCCATATTTGTACCATAGTAAAAAAACAACAAAAGGCCAATTCTCATAGTTTCTGCCATATTTGTACCATAAGTAAAAAAACAAAAAGGCTAATTCTCATAGTTTCTGCCATATTTGTATTTTCAGCATCACATTGTTTTGTTTCATCTGATTCATATCTCCCTCTACTGATGTACTGTTCTCTTTCTTGTATGACAAGAATATGGAAGTGTATTATCTGATTCATATCTCCCTCTACTGATGTACTGTTCTCTTTCTTGTATGACAAGAATATGGAAGTGTTTCATCTGATTCATATCTCCCTCTTCTGATGTACTGTTCTCTTTCTTGTATGACAAGAATATGGAAGTGTATTCATTTACCAATTGTGAAGTAGACGGTTGTCTTTATTTCCTTTTTTTTTTAAATTGTAAGAAAAATTAAGAACTGTTTGACTATACAAAATAAGCAAACTTCATTATCAGTTGCTGTATGCTAAGTTTCATTGTTTTTTAAGAACCAGTTTTGTTTATAAACTCTGTAGGTGTACAAAGATCGTGGATGGAGCCTGGCTCAGGACCACATCTATTTTACGGTAGGACGTCAGTCTCAGAATCTGAAGCACCTTGAGGATGCCTGTTCTGCTTTCCGAGCCCTTCTTACAGACAAGAGCCAGCAACCAGTTGCTCAGCAGGCTGCATTCTTGCGAGAATATCTTTTTGTACAGAAGGTAGTATTTTGATGTTCGATAATATTCTGTTGAAATGTTTTGTTCTCACAACAGAGTTATATAATGTTTTAATGCTTAGTGCTTGCAATGGGTTTAAAGCTTGGTGCTTATGATAAGTTTATGTTAGATTTTATAAATTAGTGCTTATGATAAGTTTATGTTAGATTTTATAAATTAGTGCTTATGATAAGTTTATGTTAGATTTTATAAATTAGTGCTTATGATAAGTTTATGTTAGATTTTATAAATTAGTGCTTATGATAAGTTTATGTTAGATTTTATAAATTAGTGCTTATGATGGGATTATAATCCCTCTTGTAACATAGTGTTCATGATCTTATTATATTCTGTTTTGTAACTTTATGCCCATGGCGTTACATTTTGTTTCGTAACTTAATGTACGGTATTAGAATAACAGAAGTATGATAATTAGTTTAATAACAGTAGTATAATAACAGCTTGAGAAGTTACAAAATACAATGTTGCCTGGCATGCCTATAGTTTTTCACCTACAGTACATACACTACCCCATTGCTGCTGCTCAAAGGCAGGATTAGAATACACTGATGGATTTGTTTTTGCTCCCATCAAGTTGCTAATTACTGATCTGGCCACATCAAATAGTGGAACACTTGGGATACTGGAAGGTTGTGGATGTGAGCATAATCAATAGAATTAACTCTCTTTATGTTCAGGTGATAATTGTTATTCACCAAGAATAAACCTCTTCAGTTGAATCTCCCATCAAGTTGCTAATTACTGATCTGGCCACATCAAATAGTGGAACACTTGGGATACTGGAAGGTTGTGGATGTGAGCATAATCAATAGAATTAACTCTCTTTATGTTCAGGTGATAATTGTTATTCACCAAGAATAAACCTCTTCAGTTGAATCGGACTTTGTTCTTATAATCACTTGACGACAGTCATTAATTAAGTGAGGATGAGAAATACATTATTATGTAAACTCTGATAGTAGAGTAAGTTGACCATCATATAGTTTATCTCAACAGTTATTGTCTTAAAAAACTCTTAAACTTAAGCCGTTCATTCTAAACTAACTTAGTTTGATGTGATTGTGAAAAAATTACATGTGTCACTAAAGAAATGTTGAAAAGATGGGAAACAAAAATATGTACTTTTTTATTATGTAAATCTTAGATCACTAAAAACTACAAAACTTGGACTTGTAGAATGTAGAAATGTTGCAAAGATGGGAAACAAAAAATATGTACTTTTTTATTATGTAAATCTTAGATCACTAAAAACTACAAAACTTGGACTTGTTGTTTAAAACTCTTGAGGTATAAATGTACATACATGAATTAATTATATGACTTGACATTTACAGCATTAAATTTTTGATGTCATTAATATTTGCATTAATTTTATTGCAGCTATCGTCGAGCAAATGAAGTGAACAAGACTTCAGTAAGCAAACAGAATTAAACTTGGCAAATGTCCATTTTTAGGTTCCCAATGAAGGCTCTGATAAAACTTAATGTCAATTTAATTTATTTAGTCAAAGTTTGGCCGATTTATTTCATATTGCTCAAATTGTGAGGCAGGGCATGCAGCTACGACTATAGGAGCATGTAAATTATATCCGAAAGTTATGTACAGAATCACCCAGGGCAGCAAAAGAAGTATAAAGAATACCTAACTAAATGAAATTGGGTATTATAATTATTATAATGTAATGTAGCAAGACAACAGTTTGGTGTGATGCAAATAACTATGAAAATGTAACAAATTACAATAAAGTTCAAAACACAGATATAAGAAATGAAACAATCTTAATGATACACTAAATCCAAATGTTTAGAAAGTACTGCTACATTGGACTATACATTTCTTGTGTCTTGCATATAAAGCATCTTTTATAAATGTTTTGCATTTTACAAATTGAACATTTATGTGATCAGTTTTTGACATCTTTCTTTTGCAATTTCTCACCTTTTATAAAATTTACTAAGACATTTGCTCTTTAATCAGTGTTATTATCTGTATAGACTTTATATAAATCACATAAAATATGCTACGTCTTAATTTTGGTGTGTTAATGCTAAATTTCTAATCGTATCAATTACTTGGGTGTCAAATGTATACAAAAGAAAAGTTTTCAACAATGTTTCTCAATTTTTCTAACTGATAAGCTAAACCCAAATAACTTTATGAAACACGCTATAAATGTATAAAATAAATAATTGTAGAGGCTACTGAGCTATGTAAATATCAATGGACTTAATCATATTTTATATCGAGCAATCTCGCATGCTAATGAACTTAATAGATGTTTACAAAGTAATAATCTAATGGCATAATGAAAGAGAACTTTTGTAGATTATAGAAAATATTAATTATCAGTTGAACAGAGCTGAGTTAATAATTCATGCTTGTAACATGCCCAGTCTCTATTGAAGGTCAATTATGACACAGTTAATATAAAACTAATATGGTTGAAAGTGTTCCAGATACAGGTTGTATCCACATCTTATAAAACTAATATGGTTGAAAGTGTTCCAGATATGGGTTGCATCCACATCTTGTAGAACTAATATGGTTGGAAGTGTTCCAGATACAGGTTGTATCCACATCTTGTAGAACTAAAATGGTTGGAAGTGTTCCAGATACGGGTTGTATCCACATCTTATAAAACTAATATGGTTGGAAGTGTTCCAGATACAGGTTGTATCCACATCTTATAAAACTAATATGATTGAAAGTGTTCCAGATACAGGTTGTATCCACATCTTGTAAAACTAAAATGGTTGAAAGTGCAACCTGTATCTGGAAACAACCTGTATCTGGAACACTTTCAACCATATTAGTTTTATAAGATGTGGATAATATTAGTTTTATAAGATGTGGATGGTTGAAAGTGTTCCAGATACGGGTTGCATCCACATCTTATAAAACTAATATGGTTGAAAGTGCAACCTGTATCTGGAAAATATTAGTTTTATAAGATGTGGATGGTTGAAAGTGCAACCTGTATCTGGAAAATCCACATCTTATAAAACTAATATGGTTGAAAGTGTTCCAGATACAAAATTGTTTGCATTTGCCCACAGCCAGGAATTATTGAGCACTGTCAAATTAAGCATTCAATGGGGTGGTGCCTTCTGCTTGTACTGTATCTCAACCAAATAAGGCTTGCATCCTTCGGTAACAAGTTGGTTAATATGGACAAGAAAACTGGGGCATTTCGTACATGAAAACTGTTTTTAATCTAATGAAAACTTTTCAAGACAGTTTCTCTTCACAGAAATGGAAGGATTGTTGTTTCAAAGACTTTACTTTTTTTTTCTGTAACATTATTTTGGATAGTAATCTGTCTTTTATGACAAAATATATTATATGTAATTATTTACTTATTACACGTTTTTGGGAAAAGTGTAACATGTTGAAACACTCATTCCCATATTGTGTCTCGAGTCGTTAATTTAAGTGAGATAAGTGTAAATGTACACAAATTTACCTATGCTATATTTTCGTTCTGCCTTTAGCATAGTTCTGCTAATTTGTATCATTATGAAAATTTTTCACAAAAATTACTATATAATCTACTTTCATATACAGCAGTTCCTTACTCAGTCAACTGATGTAAACTCTCTACCAGTTCTTCCTTTACCGTATATTGACTATCAGTCTACGAAGGTGCTGTTTGATCAACCTCTGTCTGTACTGTGTGGTGAGTTCTTTATATATTCTGATCCTACAGAAGGTATGTGGGTAGTAATATCATCTTCTTCACTTGATCAGTGACCTCCCTCACTAGATAACTGAACCAGTATAACTAACAAAAACGATTTCCCTCACTAGATAACTGAACCAGTATAACTAACAAAACAATTTCTCTCACTAGATAACTGAACCAGTATAACTAAC